AATAATTCCAGTGGTGATAGATTCCCTTTAAAACCAACAGGGGAAAAACAACAAATAGTCTCAACCAAATCTCGGTCGCTTTCTGCTCCCCTGCTAAAAGTGACTAACTTTTAGTGGTTTAATACGGAAAAACCAATAGTTGGCAAAAAGTGTTTCAGTCCTAACATCCCTTGGCAAAATGCACCAAAGACTTGGGGAAGGAATTGTAGGGGGCGATATCTCTCCGCTGCGGTTTTCTTTCAAGAATACGATCTCCAGCCTGACGCGGGGAGTCCGGCATGACACTCTCCGGCATCACACTCTCCGCATGCCTCTTCTCCTGCAGGAAGTGCAGGGCCATCTATTTGTCTAGCAAAAGAACCAAAAATGATACCTATTTTTTTAGATTTCATCCCCCGCAGTTGGTGCTGTTTTAGCATTTTGTTGTACTCTTTTAGTATCCTAAGGGGGTGGAATTGCAGCCACATCCATTCTAGACATAGCAATCATTTCACGCCAGGACCCTACCAGCCTACTAACATTTACCATGGTTTCTGGTGTATGGTTGCTTTAATTGCAGTATTTGGGGCATCCACACTTCAGTGGCTTGGCCAAACTGTGTCTCCACTTAAATTGCCTTCCCGAAGAGCTTAAGGTCCAGGAAATCAGGAGCAAGTAATCGTGACCAGGGCTGTGGGAAATGCCCACTTCTGTGATACAAGAAAAAGTCCCCCAAAGACTACCTCGTCATTTAAAAAGGGGATTCCCTTGTCAGAAGTGGGGAAAAAACTCTTATATAACTGATCCCACAACCCGGGTCGTGACTGTAACCCTCCCATGTCTCCCCTTTGTTATGGCTCCGACTGCCATCTGGGAGGGCAAGTTGGAATTCGTTGCTGCAAGGACCCGCACACGTGGTGGGGCGGAGATATACAAGGGTGCCCTTGCCCGAATTCGGTTTAGAACTCAACATGGCACCTGCAAAATTTCCCATGGAGTGTTTGCTGGCAACTCTCAGCAGCCTCACCAAAATAGAGCACACCAGCAAACACATGCCAAGGTCAGAAATCCACTGCGGAAACTTGCGGCCGCTTCCCACATCTTGCAAAAGGGAAGCCAAAGAATCCTGCTAGGTGTGGGCAGCTTAACTGAATTTTCTGGGGACTTCATGACTCAACGCAGCCCTCTCTTGGGAAAAGGTACGGTAGATGTCCTAAACTGCAAGGGAGCAAGGAACATGATTACCAGCTTCTAGCTTTGATAACCCCTAAAAACAGACGCAACTTGATTCCAACCCGGTGTAGAAAAGCTGCGTTGGGTGCCAACTCAATATTGCAAGTAGGGAGCAAGGAAACCACTTGTGTTGTTAACCGTAATTTACTCTACCTACAGACTCCATTGATACATTAATTGTTGCTCGAAATATTTCTGCTCG